AGAGACATATGGGAGATGAATAGAGGTTGTCCCATACTTGCTGTATCTATTAGAATATGTTAATTTGTCTCATTCATTCATCTCAGGAAATTAATGCTGATATCTGAGTGAATTGTGATTATCTACTGATAGAAGCTCATGTCTACAGGATTTCTGCTCCTTTCCTTCCAGAATTTCGAAACCTGTAGTGATAAAGGCTGGGGAAAAGTCCTGTAGCTGTGTTTTTGGCTGTGCTTGACAGTTCCTATACAGTACAGTCAAATCAATTAAGTGTAATTTTCACAGGCATGCAGATGTTGTTTTTTGGGGTTTTGGGGTTGTGTGTTTTTGTGGGTGTTTGTTGTTTTTTTTTTTTTTTGTAATTATCTTGGATATGTACTAATGTAGCCTATGGAAGCAATGCAGAGGAATATGCATAGAGGTAGAAAATGCAGGGAAACCCTACAGAGTCAAGTTTTAACTGTGCTAAACCCCTCCTGTATTTTTAATTCCTAATCTGGCCTGAGTTTTGCATTGCATAACTGAAAATGATAATTCTGTGTCTCTGGGATGCTCTAAAACTAAATTAATGTAATCAAATATATTATGAAGTTTACTATAGAAAAGTACTATTTAAAAATGGAATGCTATTTCCCATCAGGGATTTTGAGTAATGGGCAATGGAATAAGATGCGTAAACCCACAAAGACCAGAGGAAAAAAAAAAAAGCACAGATTGATGACTCATCTTTGTCAGCAGTTTTAACTTGCATGAAGCTAATGAAAAAACTCATACATGCTTTCTGAGGCTAAACCATATTAAAATTTACTGACACTAAAGAGCTGGATTAAAGCTGCATGAAAAACATTGCTTCTAATACTTTCCAAACTTGGGGTCTTTGCTTTTCAAAACTAAAGCAAATTTTCCTTTGTAAATTGTAAGTAAATAACATAAACTTACTCAGAAGAAATTATATTTTATTTACCTTATTAATATTGAAAAATGAAAGACAAGGAGGCTTGGAGTTGAGCCCTGGGGAGAAAGGACCTTTTCCAGTGTCAAGATGGGGTGTCAGACTGAGAAATGGTAGTGCTTAAGTCTTAGTTGACAGGAAGTAAAATGATTTGGGGCAGGATGGAGTGGAAGAGACATATGGGAGATGAATAGAGAGAACATGCATGTGTTTACTGCATGTGCAAAGCTTATTATTCATGTACGTCTTACCTTGCTGCCCATGCAGTGACTGCAGTTCTGTTAGTATTCTAGAAAGGCTGTCTTCTAAAACACTTTCAGAAGCTTTGAATAATGTCAGTCTCAAGTACTGAACAATACTGAAATAAATATACCAAAATTGTACTAAAAAAACACCAAACCCAACATAAAGCTAAGTCAAAAGTGTTTGAAAAGAAGCACTGTCTTACAAAGCTGGCCTCCATTCTACTCATAACTGCGTGGTTTTTGCCATATTTTAATGGAACAGACATGATAAAGGAATGACGGACAAGCAGAGAGAAATTGAGTATGTCTAGAGATCCTTAATGTCCTATAAAAATACTTGGCTATTAACAAAACCAGCAATTTTTTCCTGTGAAGAGCCGCATTAAATACAAATTTATTCAGTGTATAGAAAAAGGCCTGGACATGGTAGGAGCTTTTTGCAACCGTACTGCAGATGTAGCAATCCCAACACTCGATTTAGGAGTTTCTCATCAAGACTGATTTTACTTCTGAGCTTGAGTGTAGTCCATTAATTACTTAGAAAACCTAAAAGCCATTTCTCTGCACTCAATAATGAATATGAATGTGATCCACTGTCCTGCATCAGAGCCCAATACATACATTTACAAAACTTAGAGGAGGGTAGAGTGAAGGTTGTAGTAGGATCCTTGATTATTGTTCAGCTTGTAGTTCAAGAGGTAGTCCTCTTGAGTCTGCTGTGGCAGAGACAGAGTAGCACAGTGGGGCTGGGTTGGAGGTGCATGGGTTTAAGGTGAACATGCCTATTAATGGTTCTCAGAGGATGTTTCTCCCCTCAGGAGTAGAATTGTTTCCTTACACTACTGCACTTCCTCAGTTATTTCACCTATCCTGATACTCTTTAGAGAAGTTACAACATTTCAGGATTCTTCAGATCAAAAGTAAATTCTTATCCTCAGTTGTGGAGGTAGGTGTACAATAGGCTTGTATGTATTGTCCACGCCCCCAAATTATATGGCTAATTTAACGGTTTGGTTTAAAGAAAGTAGGAAAATTTCCACAGGGGGGGAAAATGTTTATGTTGTTGTGCATCGTTTTTGTATGGTTTAGTATAAATTTGACAGCAAGTCAGTTGTCTCCTTTAGTATTATAATGCAATTTCAGAAAGGGTCAGAAATTGCCCACAAACACCAGACCTTGAAGTGCCATCAGATTTGTCCTCTAAAACGTGACTAGTTAGCAAACCATCAGTGTGGGGAGCTGGCACGTGGAGCGTCAGCAGGCGTTGTTGAGTTAGGTGTGCGGCTGGCCCAGCTGGGACTTTGAATGCTGCTACAGTGGGCAAAATGTCTACAAGCGACCTAATGTAGACTTTGCTTAAGAATCATTAACTAAATCCCTGTTTCTTTTCCTGGGAGCTTCAGCTGAAGTCATGTGACCTGATGTAAAACACGATCATTACCTATCAGTGCAAACATATGGCAAAGTCTGCCCATGTTATTACTTATCTCCGGGAGCGCAAGTGGGCTGCGACATTTCAAGCAAAGCCTGTTGGTGAGAGAGTTTCTATGTGAACTTTCTTAAAGAAGCGCTTCCTTTTTAATCATAATCCTGCGTGGGAAAGTATACCAAACATTTTTCTCTGAGACACCAGAAGATTTACATAATTCTGCTTCTATGCAAAAGAGAAGAAATGCAGATACAACATTCTGTTATGATTGTAAGCTTTGTGTTTACCTGTACTGTGGAAAGTTAGTTTCCTGTTTTCTGAGATGCATTTCTCGGAACAGGATGGTTTCGAAGATAACTTCCGAAGTGTTGTTGCTGCCCATGAAAGGGTTTCTTCTGGAATCTTGGTGAGTTTGACAGATTTATTGCTAAGTATGGGTATATAATTCCCTATAGCATAGTAAAAATAGAAAAGAATTGACAGCCTATGTTTGTGGAAGACTTTAATCAGGCATTCAACAGACTTACTTTGTTTCCTGATTTTGTGCCGTAAGTGCTGTGTGCATTACTAGGAGCAATCCTAAACCCCAATTAAGATCTTTACTTAGGAACAAATGCGGTTTTGTTTGCTTGTTTTTTTGTAGGGTAGACCTCATGCTACAGTGGTCATGTTTTACATGGTCATTCCCTCTCGCCCCTCCAGTCTTTTCAAGGCACAAAATGGAAACTAGTGTAAAATTCTGCTTCATAAATATATATACATGCAAATATAGGCAAGATGAGATAAATTGAGGGAAGCCATTGGTATGCATGTTTTTTATTTTGTTTTTGTACCTAATCTCTTCAAGGAAATCCAACTTCTTTACTGTTTACACCAAGTGGCACTAAACTATCTTCGGTCCTTTAAATGTATCTCAAAATAAATGGCATGTGTGAATACCTAAGCTCTTGTAAGCCAAGATCCACGTTTAAGTAACTTTTTTTTCAGTGATAGTTAAAATTCATATCTTCAAAAGCTGTATCTCTCTAGAGCAATCTGATATCTTGCCTTTGAGTAAACTGCACTCATTTTTCTGTTGCTGAACTGGACATTTGTAGTGTTCACGTTCGTAGGGGGGCACCTGTATAAAACGTGTTGGCTTAAAGAACACAAATGCAGTTTACCTTTGCTAAAGCAGTACTCCAAATGCACAGAAAACACAAATTTGTGGACAGCCTTTTGATTGTATTTTGCACTTGCATACAGACATTACTGAATAACATAAAATTGTTCAAGAAAACCCATTGGTTTTGTAGCACCCAAATTAACATTTGTTAATGGTACGTAGATATAATTCCTAGTCACAAATCTCCTGCTCAAGTTATACTTATGTAAGCGTATCAAGCATGAGGTTGAAAATTCGGCTGTCTGTCATGTAGAGCATGATAGATACTTAGTCTGAGCTGTAGTATTGATTAATCATTATTGCTGAGGGACATTCTGTTCCTCATTGCAGTAACATGAGGACGTCAACCAATGTATGCTGGGTTAAATTTAATTTAACTGTTTTGAGAATTTTATAGATGGAGGCACGGAATTTTATTTTTAGTTCTTGAACTTCCAAAATATATATTTTCATAATTTGTATTTACTTTTACACTCTCAAAGAAAATGAAAAAAAGGCAGCTTTTTTTTGCCTTTTGGCATGTGATGGCTTCTTGCCAGAAAAGAAAATCTTTTTTTAAGATACAGGACAGAGATCTCTTCCCCCATTCCGATTGCAATTGCATTTAGCTAGTAGTATTAATATATTCAGCTATAAGATGTTTTGCAAACTAGGTAGTATTGCATAAACATTCAAAAATCAACCTATCTGGAGCCTCAAAAGTTACCAAAAGTGTTTGTCTGCTGCAAGACCTTAAGTATTGATAACCTTTTAATTTGCTATCTTAGAAGAGTAAGTAGTGAGCAACATTAGCTTTTACACAGAGTTCTGTAATTTGACTGCATCAGGTAGTGTATATACTCTGAATATCAAAAGCAATAAAACTTAAAAGCTAGTCAGTATTGGGAAGTACTGCTGCACTGCCTGTTCTTAGCTTGTCTTGTCCTTCAGACTCTATCTTGAACTGCAGAACTGGAAATTGGCTTGCTTTCTGGGTTCTTACAGCAGGTGGTGAAGGCAAACTGCTCTGCTTTTCTCTGCTTTCAGGTTCGTGCTTAGTAAACATTTGTTAAAGAGTGTTATTGAGGAAATACTTTGCCATACCAGTTATTCTGTGATGGGGCTATCTCTATGGCATTGGCAAGAATTAACACAGTAACATTTTATGCTGTTCTTCTCTATAGTCAGATTCAGTACTTGTGTTACCACAAGTTTTCCAACAATATACAGTAAAGCTTAAAGGAAAAAGCTGCCCAAATCTTCTAGCTGGGGTTTGTTAATGCTAGAAATTAAACATCTCATATTTCTCAGGTATGTAGGGACACTTTATTTCCATTTGATAATTTGCTTGCTACAGTTTGTCCCTTCTAAAATAACATGTTTATATTGCAAAGTGAACCATTATGTTAAAAGCTGAACTACAACCTGATAAGCAGTAATATAAACTAGCTTCTGATCTACAGTTTTGTTTACTTACAATGTACAAAATGATGTTTGCGTTGACTTGCATCATAAAAGCTTCTTTCCTTATAAACAATGTTCTTAAAACTCAGTAGGTTCAAAAGCTCCTGACTTTTTCACAAGTTAGAGGTTATTCTGTTTAAGTATGATCAGAAAGGTGGCTGTGGTCTGAGCTACAGAAATATAACAGAGATCTGGAAAAGAGAGAACTTTCACTACAGGAAATCAGGGATGTGTATAAAAAAGGTGAATGCTTCAGTCGTCTTGGGGTGTTTTTTTGTAACCTTTTTGTGATTAAACAAGGTCAGTTAGCATGTATGTGAGGAAAGCTGGATTATTTTTCAGCTGAACTCAATTCTTAGCAGTTGGTGTGAAATTCTCATCTTTTAAACAGTCACTAATTAAAAGATAGAGAATTCCTTGCTGATGTCCATTCCTCAAGTCCTATTCACTGAAATGAAATATATGGAATGGAGACTCTATTAAGGGCTTCTATTCCTGATTGTGCCAAACATTTCTTTTAGCAACTTCAGTCTCCTTGGTGACATGAAAACCAAGTTTTTTTGTAGACCAATACCATGTGCTCCTGGAAGTGGCCAAGGTATAGCCATGAATGATAATGACTCTGTTCGAGTATTTTTCCTAAGACTGAGAATAAAGATTGACTGTCATTCTAGGGGAAGACCAATTGCTTAAACAGTAAAGCAGAGATATTACTACCTTTCTGTTTTGAGTTAGTTCCATGTGATGCAGCAAATATCTCACTTGTCAAAAGGAAGATGTTCAGTTCCCTGCCATAACCTGTTTTTTTTACTAGCGCTCTGGTGCTGCTGTGTGCCTCATGACTCTGGTGCTTATGTTCTTCGTGAGCTAATCTAATTTACTATCCCACTGAAACGAACAACTACAAAAAAAGGGGTAGACTTCGGCCAGTTGTCAGTGAGCTAAAATCAGCTCATTGAGAGGGTCGGATGAGGAAAGTTTGAAGTGAGACATCCCCTTCTTAGTAAGACTGAGCTATTATTTTATTAGCAAACAGTCAATTTTATAGTAGTACATGGAGCTGCTTAGAGATGAAACTGAATTGTTTTAATCACTAATGTTGACAGGGAGTCCATTCTACTAATCTCATTAGTCACTCAATGACAGCCTGTTCTTTTTGTCATCAACCATGTTGTAGAAAAGCTGTGGGAGAAAATTCTCTTAATGTGTTTCCTAGCATAGTAATTCTGTAGATAACTTCAAACGAGTTTTAAATCTGTAGTGTAAAACACCCATCTTCCTTTTCTAGTCTTGTGGAGTGGAAGGACATTTTTTTCATAAATCTAAATATGATGAGGTAATGTATTTTAGGCTTGAGAAGCCTGAGATGGAGAAAACTACTTCTGTAGCTGCTCTAAGCCTGTGAAAGTAGTTTAAGTTTCCTGCATGTTTACAGTTATATTGGTACTGTTAGATGCTACGAAAGTAGCTTCCTTTTGAATGAATGCAGTGTACCCTGTGTTTCTGTAAGGAAGATTTTGAAGGCTCAGAACCAAAATGATTGATTGATTACCTAGATAATTAAAATGGCATCAGGAGGAAGAACTCTTTTGTAGTTCATTATGGTTTTGTTTAGAGGCATTAAGAAAAATCTTGACCCTTGTTCAGGTGCTAATAAAAATAGATTAGCAAATAGATAAAAATTCACTGTACACTTTTTTTTTTTGGTAGAAATGTTATCCCAAAATAGAATGTTTACAATTTAAGCCCCATTATCTGTTCAGTGTATAGTGTTTTGCTTGTTTGCAGTGGCTCTTTGTTCTTCCAAATCCTACCCTTAACTTCAGAGGCATGCAATTGCTTGGATATATTTGAAGCGAGCTTGTAGCAGTCTTGGGTGCGAGGCAAGAGAAGGCAGAATGAGGAAGGGGTGCACTTAGGTTTCCATTAGAACACCTTCACAGTTTTCCTTCCTCTTTCTGTTAAAGGTCAGATGATCAGAGAAATCTCTGGACTTCATTTCTTATTGGCAGTCATAGTTTACATTGCATTCTTAGTCTGAAATATTTGAAATCATTCAAAATTCATTCATTCACTCAAATACTTTTAATGGATTAGACAGAATGTTCGGTAAGTGATACTGTGTGTTCTTTGTTTATCTTTGAATTTCTTGTTTCTTTCCAGTTTGATTTTAGCATAACCTTCTTACTGTGTGCATCTATCTTTCCTTTTATTCTGGCCTGAACTCCCCACTCTCATCTAGTAAGATTAATTCGTTTAGGCTACATATTTGTTTTCTCTTAACTGAAACTTTGTGAAACCTGTGGAAAGTAGTTGGTGGGCAACTCTTTACCCTTCATATGTTGCCTGAGTGTGTAAACTTGGTTAAGACCTGCTTTTCACATAGGAAAATGCAGTATTTGGAATTTAGTGTTTATCCTTTAGGAGTAATGTCTGTGAAAATAATGGTTGTTAGCTGCATTCGTAGTCGTTGCTTCTTGTGGGTCAAGAAGTGTGTTCAGGACAAGGTCATGTTGCTAGATTCACTGTGGTTTTGCAGAGCAAATTTTACTTCAGCAGCTGTTTAATTTACAGGTACCTACAAGCTTCATTAAGCTGTTTAGGGAAGTATACATTTGAACTCTAAATTATACTTATTGTAGTTCTATTTAATCAAAGGGTAATGGGAGAGTCTCAGTAACTTTGAATATTTGGCATCGCCTACCACAGGTGGAAGTCTTGCTTGTCTCATTTTTAACTTCTGAAGGTCAATGGCAGCGTTTTTCAAGAAAGGTTTTTACAAGCTCATGATTTTTATGTTGCAAGAGTTTTTTAGTACTACTTTCATGGCAAAGAAATTCACTGGAGTTGCGATTTCCTTATATAGGAAGAAAACTGTATTTCTTCGGTATTTTTCTTCATTCTCAAGCTCCTGTCTCCCATTATATCTTTTGATAATTTCTTTGGGGTGACTCAGCAATTTTTAAAATACAGAGTACACTACATAAGTTTTCCTGACTTTTAAGGGTTTTTTGCATCCTTACGTACAGTTATCTTAATTTTCAATAGAGGATCAGTTGTATTAAATGGGCAGTCTTCAGAAGATGGATTTGTCTCTTCAGCATCACTTGAATCTAGGCTTTGAGGTTTAAAGACTATGTGCTTCAAATTTTACTTTAAAATTTTTAAATAATCATATGTTCAAGTTAATAAGCTATTCAGAATATTTTTTTTTAACTCTGGAGACTTAGTAATATAAGAATTGGCTCAAAATTCTGTTGACTCTTGAAGGCATTTGTGTAAAGCTTTTTGGAATAATCAGAGTAATTGATAAATGACATTGTGCATCTGTTTAGATGTTTTGTAAAAAGTTCTTTTTAAAGATAAAAATTAGTTTATTTACACTTTTTTTTTTCTCTTCCTTAGTCTCAGACTATGAACTACGTAGGACAACTTGCTGGACAAGTCCTGGTTACTGTGAAGGAGTTGTACAAAGGCATTAATCAGGCAACCCTTTCAGGATGCATTGATGTCATTGTGGTCCGGCAGCAAGATGGTACATACCAGTGTTCTCCTTTTCATGTCCGATTTGGGAAGCTTGGTGTGTTGCGCTCTAAAGAAAAAGTGGTAAGTTCAGAAATCGGGCCAAACCAATGTTTTGAATACCAATGCATTCCTTCCCCAGCCCCCCACATACCCAGTTAGCAGGCTGATTTAGTCCACAGCAGTTTCTCATACATGCTGTACAGAGTGATGAGTTTGGAATGCAAAACAACTTCCTGTGGTAATCTAAGGACTCTGCAAAAAAAAAAACCCAAAAAACTGTGAAAGAAGAGCTTTGACAGCTCCTGAGCTATGCAAAAAGAAGATTGCAAACATATAGATTACATAGTCTTAAAATGTTTACATGGGTCTTTATTTATTTAAGTATGCTGGTAAAGAAATGCTTTATGCCATTTAACTGATCCCTGATGCTGCAAGCAACTGTTTTTGAAATGTCTAGAGGATAAATAGAGTATGTGTTAAGGGTTGGTGACCTATTTTAGATGTTACTCCTTGTTAGCTCTGTTCAATGTTGCTGTGCAAGAGAAAATGCAATTAATAATATCCACAAGCAAATAAAAACTGGGACTGAAACTTCACTCACTTGTGGGCATATTTGAAAGAGAACCTGGTACAAACCTCAGACAGTCCAGCCAGTCTGAGACTGGTGCTACCAGAGTGGATTGCCCTGCCATCCCATTTCCATAGGCTTTAGTAATTATGCCTAGGGAGTAAGTTGGATTGGGTTGCAAATTTGACTGAAAAATAGACCCATTGTGGGGTGACTTTACATTACTCTCTGTAGGGAGTACTGTGTATGGCAGTATTGCCTCTGGGTGTGCTACTGAAGGCTGGGTTGATTTAAACAGCTCATAATGCCTCGATTATATGCAGCTTTTCTAAGAACCAAAAGGGCACGGCAGAAAACTATCTCCATCTTTATATTTTGGTTGTAAAAGGAGAATAAAGTGCAACTAAAAGAGCAGTTATGTTGTGGCATTTTTTTGTTGGCGTTCATACTGGGAGTTACGTGCATTAAAGTTGTAAGTTTATCATAGTAACACAGGCTAGCAGAAGTTTCATTGTTTTGTTTTGATTTCCCACTTGCTAGTGGTTTGTGGTTGGTTTGTTTGTTTGTTTTTTATGAATACGCTGATGGCAAAGTTGATGTTTCCTAAGCAGTTCTGCAACAGCAGAACAGTTTTTCAGCCAGGTACAAGAGAGGTCATTCAGCTGTACTTTTTCTAATGTCCTAGCAAGTGTGATAAACTTACAACAGGAGCAATCTGGAACTTGAGCTTGTTAAGTGTCTTTAATTACAGTTCTGGAAGCTGAGCCAAATTTGAGAGGATATCAGTTCCTGGGTACCTCTAAAAAGCTGTTGAGTAGTAGAAACATCTACTCTTGGTACCTGCTGTAGTAGGCTGTCAGTGTAGTTCTCAGCTGTTGGATGGCTGCTGCTTCTTGCTCCCTTCATCTTGGGAGTTGCCATTCTGCATTTGCATATTCTCTCAATAGTCAATCAAACGTTTATTACTGCATTGTCTGCACATTATTCTCTGGCATGTTGTGAGGCTAAGACCAATTGGTAGACTCAAGATACATGGGAACACAGAATATGTATGTCTGTGCTTCAACTCTATACCTAAGGTAGATACTGAAGTCTCCAGAAAACAGCATGAGATATAGGTACTAAAATTAGGGATGTTTTTCTAAATCAGCATAAAGAAAAGGTTGGGGAAAAAAGAAACATTAAGATAGTTTTCTTTTTGTAAACTCATATTACTGAATTGGAAATTCGATAAAATATTTTAAGAATAAACTGTAGTGAAATAAATAGGATTTTCAGGTCAAAACCATCCAGTTCTTGTGGGTAAAAAGAAAAGGATTTGGGTATAGTCTCCATGTATATTTGGTTATGTACCTGTAATTTATCATCTCCTGTGATCATATTTCCTTGGCCAATGGTTGTATTCTCATAAGTTGGGGAATATTACAGTGGATTAGGATGTATGGATACTGCCTGACTTAGTACTGTGGTGCCTGTATTTTTTGTTTTCTTTGGCAGTCCATGTGCTAATCTTAAAATGAGGCCTCTTCCCCTTTTGAATGGCCGTTTCGTATCACGATAACTAACTGTGAAGATGAGTATTCATATTGTACTACTACTAGCTGTGTGGCTTGGGTTGTAATTCTTTCTTTTCCATTGGCAGGAAACTAAAACTCGAGTAATGTACATATTGGGTATTTTATAGCAATTACAGTATTTAACTTGGTCTCCTTTAGGTAGAAGTGTCTGTATATAACCTGAAATGCCATTGGCGTTTTCAACAGTAACACGGGTCCATTCTGTTTCTATCTGACATGTATGAAATAATTTTTAATTACCTAGACTAAAAGCAGATATACAGATGCCATTAGATAATCAGTGTTACTGAAAAGTAAGGTTCTTTTAACTGAATATTGAACACCTTTTCTTTAGAAAAATTTTGAATGGAACTTAAGTGGATACCCAAGATTTTGCAAAGATGAAGTAAAATAGTTGTATCTTGGTTTTAGAAAGACATTTGGTATTTTAATTTTATTTCATACATGTGGGGAAGGGTAATCTCTCCCTCCTGTGCAATGTAATATAAGTTAAAGTACCTTTTTATGAGAATAAAAACAAGCACTACAGTTGCAGAAGGGTTGTGGTCCTGTGTCATATCCCCATAAACTCACAAGCATGAACACTTGGAACAGCATTAACTGAGTGGCAGAAATAATCATGCCAAATCCCTATCCTACTGAAACAAAGCCTGCCTTCAGGAGGCTTTGTTTGTTGTCTTGAGCTGCTGGTACTTGGGTCTCTGATGCATGCTAGGTCCCAATTCAGGCTGAGCTTTAAACATAGGAACTTTAACAGTCTCAGTCAGTCTTTAATTCCTGGAAGAATGATGAGTAAGTCTATTATTATTACTATTGTTTCTAGCTCTTTTTTTATCTTGAGATGTTTTGTTGGGATTTTTTTCCACTTTTTCTTGTAGGTGTTAGGTTCTCTGCTAGGAGCATGATGTATTTTGCAGGTTAACCAAAAAAAAAGAACATCGTTACAACAGACTTCCTTGAAAAAGCAAAGGGAGGCAAAAGAGACAAGATTATGTAATGGAACAAAGTTTACTCTGAGCGAAGTGGAACTTGAGGTCAGTGCTTTCTCCTATGATGAATTATTTACATTAAATTGTCTCTTTCCACAGATTGATATAGAAATTAATGGTGATGCTGTTGATCTTCACATGAAACTGGGTGACAATGGAGAAGCTTTCTTTGTACAAGAAACTGAGGAGGAAAATGTAAGGGCTTTGTGCTTAATGATGGCTACAATGCAGTATTAAGAGACTAATGTGTTAAAAGTGCTTAATATAATGTTGGCAATGTTGTAACTTTTATGAAAGCTAGATTTTCTGTGACTGAATCTTAACCTCGCTTTCATATGCTGCCAAGATGCTAGGTGTTTTGTACAATTCTGCTGCCTGTGATAAAGTAACTTTTTCTTCAGAGAGCATTATTTGAAAGATGTGTTGAATATTTTTTCATCTACAAAACTTTTACCAGTTAACAGTAACTTTGAGAATTATTCATGTATTCTCATACAGTAGTTTATTTCCCAAGAAGCTATTGCAGCTGGAAGCTCATGAGCCTCTGGAAAACAGGAATAATGCTTAACTTTTAGTCTGATTTCCTAAGGATATGGGACGTATGTAATATTTGTCAGTCCTGAGCTTTGTTTTTAATCACTGTTGAATCTTTTGGCATTTTTCAGTAAGGCAGAAGGGAAGACATTCTAAATACAAAGTTCAAAAAGGTTTAATGAAAACAGTCAGAGGAGAGAGAAAAACATTTGTTTCGGTGAACTAAAAGATGAAGTGGTAATTTCTTGTTGCTGTTAGGAATCAGAGTCTTTCAAGGAAATGAGCTTCATCCACTTTTTAGTTTAGGATACTGATTGTTTAATGTGAGGGATGGGAAGAAGCTGTCATTTTGAAAGGAGTTACGTTGTATTTAAAGTGGAAGGAGAAAATCGGCATTAGGACCCTAAATGATAACTTGGGATAGGGATTCATAACACTTAAGAGAAAGGAAGGTTGGTTTCCGGTTTAGCATATACCATGATTAAAATCAAAACTGAAAGCAGTTTTTTATAGATGTGGGCTGCGTCAGTCATTGATGGGAACTGATCAGTCTTAGCGCTTTCAGAAAGCAAAGCTGATAAGCTCTACCTTTGTCCCCAGTTCAGTGTTTTAAAGAAGATACTGCACTTTCATAGTATATTTTAAATTATAACGAGTGCCTTATCTCTGTACAATTTGTTCTGCAAAGCTGGTAGTTCACGCCGAAACGATAGATATCAAGTTACCTCCAGAGCAGAGGACCGAGTTGTTCTTAATGCTTTTGGACATTTTTTTTGCTTGGTATTTCTGCTACTCATCAGTGTGTCCTTCTGGTCACCTGTTGAAGCTATGCTTAAGGTATAAACGATAAAGCTCTCATCGAGTTTGTGATGCATTTAGAAAGGTTCTTGCAAGTGGTCAGTCTCTGCTGGTTTTGCATCTTGACATTCAAAAGTGACACCGCACGCCTCAAGTCATGCAAATCAGGACTGTTCGCATGTAACTTTTGGGCATCATTTTTCAGCCAGTTTTCTTTTAACTTTTCTTTTCTTTCTGTGGTGGCTTTTATTGAAATTTTGTCTTGTTATTGTTCTGCATTATTTATTACTAGTTGTATAGGATATTCACTTTATTTAAGCACTACTGTTTTATCTGAAGGTTTTTCACAGTGCAGAATCTGTGCGTCATTAGTGCTGTATAAGGCTGTATTTTGTTCTCCTTTCTCCACATTTCTCTCCTGTATAACCATTGGAACAAAATTTGGTCTGTAACTCTTTACTCAATGGAAAATTTGAATTTAGTATTAAATAATGCCATGTTCAGACTTTGAACGTATCAAAAGTAGTATCAGTGCTCTGGCTGTTTCTGATCACAGCGTAGTTCCTGACTAATCTTCTGCATAAGTCCTGTGAAATGACAGGCATCTTATAGTTTTTTCCTTACCATGAAATCAAGTCCTTCTTCTCCCTGCTATGCAAATTCCGTTCTCTTCTACTTTTGTTTCACTTTGTCCCTTCACAGTGTGTTTCTTTCAGTCTAGATGTCAGTATCTTTGTTTCTCCTTATGATGTAAATAAACACCAGGCAGTTGATTGGTAAAGCTTTTCCATCACTTGGCAACTCAGTGGCAGTGAGTTGTAATGAATTGAGTGTTGTTTGTTGGATTTAACCTGTGTAAATTGTAGTTGTATCTTTCAAAAATAAAAACTCTTTACATAAATAGCATCTGTCATGGATGACAGGACTGATGCATTCTTGCCAGTTTTGCAGATAAACACTGAACTAGGAGGAAAGGTAGACAGGCCAGAAGAGGAGCCACCACACAGAGCCAACTCAGCAGGCTGAGAGACCAAACCAGCAAGATTTGCACAAGATTTAACTGAGACACATGTGAAGCCCTGTATCTAGGGTGGAAGAATCCCGCACAGCAGTACAGATCGGGGTCTCAGTAGATTAATATGTGGCAGTGTGTCCTGTCAGCAGTGAAGGCAAATGTGTCCTAGGCTACATCAGCAGGAGTACAGCTGTCTGATGGAGGGATTGTGGGATGGTCCCACTCAGCTTAGTACTTGTTAGGCCAAACCTGGAATAGTTCTGGTCTCCCTGATTCAGGAGTGACAATTTCTTTATGGAGAGAGTGGTCAGGCATTGGAACAGGCTTCCCAGGGAAGTGGTGGAGTCGCCACCCCTGGAGGTGTTGAAGGAACATGTAGATGTGACACTTGAGGACATGGTCTAGTGGGCATGGTAGTGTTGGGTTGGTGGTTGGACTAGATGGTCTGATAGGGCTTTTCCAACCTTAGCGATTCTGTGTGATTCTGTGGAAAATTGGAGAGAGTCCAGTGGAGGGCCATCAAAATAATCAGAGGGTTGGAGAAGTTGACAAAGGAAAAAAGGTTGCTGGAATTGACTGTGTTCAGCCTAGAGCAGAGAAGGCTCATGAGGGATCTAACCACATTCTTGCAACAAGGTAGTTAGAGAGCTGACGGAGGGACTCTTTTCACAAAGATGCCTGGCGATAAGGCAAGGGGCACAAGGGGGAAATTTCATCTGGATAGAAGAAAAATTCTTCACTATGAGAACAGTGTAACAGAAATAGGTTGCCTAGAGTAGTGGAAATACTCTTATTAGAAATACTCAACATTTGGCTTGACAGGGCCCTGGATAACCTAACCTACTCTGAACAGAAGTTAGGGCCAGATGATTTCCTGATGTCCCTTCCAACCTACACCTTTCTAGGAATCTGTTCCAAAATAAATAGACAGCAGTGGATTAATTAGCCTATTTTTATTAATACATTTATTAATCATGGATAGAATTGGTGTGCTCAAGGGCAGGTAATTTCAAAAAATATACATGCAAGGATTAATCTGTGGCTGACAGCTGCTGTATGCACAAAACAAATCAAAAACTTAGTCCGTTCTTTATTTTCTGTTTTGGTTTTTTTTTTTCCTTAGGAAAAAGTTCCTGCATATTTGGCAACCTCTCCAATTCCCACTGAAGACCAATTTTTTAAAGACAGTGACAATCATTTGAATTCAGGTGAAAATGAGAGGATGTGTGCAAACTCCGAAATTCCACACTCTGTGGAAACAGAGACTGTATTTACCCCAGGTTCTGTGAAAAAGAAAAAAAGAAGAAGAAAGAAATACAAACAGGATAGCAGGAAGGAAGATCAGATCTCTTCTGCTGGGACAGAAGAGATTTTTGAAATGGAAATCAGCTCAGATGATGAAAAAAGTGTTCAACCCCTAAGGTAACCTATCATATGCTTGGTGACTGCTTTCACTGTTGTCACTGGAACATTTAAATAGTGACCTGTACCTTTTCTCTCTGTGAGTGATGCATAAGTTTCAGCAGGCTATGGGTAGGCTTTTCCTCAAGCAAACCTCAAAACCATTATCTTCCACTTCTTTACAGAATCCTTCAAGCTTGCCCATTTTGTTATGAACACAAAATCCAATCGAGACCTTTCTGCTGAAGAAGCGTTGTCACTATCTGTTGCGTGACTGGGAAGAAGTTTCAGTGTAATTTCTCTGATGAGACAAAGTGGTCTCATAGTGTGTTTGGTAACCTCTGCGTAAACTAGCGTGGAGTGCCGGTAGTGCGCCCCACCTGAATTTGACTGCTCTGTAACTTGAAGTTTACTTAAGAAAAAGTCCATAAATGAATGCTCCTTCCCATTAGTAAAGAGAATTCTTTACATGGATGTAGTCATAAAAGGCGGGGCAGAAATCAGTTCTTTATTAAAAAAATTAGAACAAATATATGAAGAATTTAGGAATGTCATGCCAATAATGTCAGGTTTGACTGAAATGTCGAATGTTTAGTCAAAACTTAACTGACCATGGTGTTTCCATAAAGGTTACTCTGGTTTTGTTGTTTGTACTCTTTAGAATGAAAGATTGAAAAGGCTTTTCATTTTTAAACCACATTCTATATATAAAACCAAAACATTCTCTGTCAGAGTGTTGTGATGTGAAAGGAAGATGATTTTGTAAATGAATGGTGTTTTCTTGTCAATAGCAGCAGTGAAAAAATACACTGTAGTAAAGGAAGGGCAGGGACAGTAGGATCGTGGCCAAGTGTCTGTTAGTGGAGTTCATACACAGTTATTCCAGTGGCCTATCAAGGCAGGAAATAAAATTGCTATAGGCATTCACTGCTTTCTTCACAGCTAAAGATACTGTCGGAAAAAAATGTTCATAAGCTTTCTTTTCACATCCTGTCGGGATATAAGGTGATACTAGCAGGTTTGCTTTGAGGTGTGTGGTTTTTTAAGGTTATAAATGTGTGGCTCTTGGAGGGAAAAAAAAACCCTATCCTAAAAGAAATAGAAACAAAACTGTTATTAGACATAGCTTCAGATTTCAAAGTGAAACTGGGAAAGGAAAAGAGAGGCTGATGTTCTAACAGGAAGGTCAGAAATTCAGCCACAGGTACCAGTATGTAATGTCTTATCTAGTTCTGTTCTTATAAAGTGAAAAACAAGCTGTTTCCTGAAAATCCATTTCCAAGTATTTATGCAGCTTTTTAAAAAATGTCCTTTGTCTTTTCTAGTTATGATTTAGATATGTTAGTAGTGCGTGACTTACCTAAAATAATACCAGGAGGACTGAGATCACAGTGTGTACGCTGAGAAGTAGAGCGCATTATTTTTCCAGTTCTAAGGGTGTTAAACAGTTAAAGTAGTTATCTGTATCTGAAATCTTGTATATATATTTAGACCATGTATAAAGTGGATAAGGATGGGGAAAAAGTGGTAGCACTGTTCATAAATGTTGCAAAATAAATAGCTTGGAATTGATAGTGCAGCTTGAAGTTGTAAGTTGATGCATGCTGATTTTTCTCCTCTTATTTTTGTAAACTTTGACTGCATTTGGTTTTTTAACCTTCCAAACTTATTCACTAATGGATGAAATTTAATTATTTTGGTGCTTCATATGAACTTGTGACTGGTTGGAGCAAGTCCAGAGGAGGCCACCAAGATGATCAGGGAACTGGAGCACCGCTGCTATGGGGACAGGCTGAGAGAGTTGGGCTTGTTCAGCCTGGAGAAGAGAAGGCTCTGGGGAGACCTTATTGCAGCTTTCCAGTACCTGAAGGGGGCTACAAGGAAGCTTGGGAGGGAGCCTTTTTACAAGGGCCTGTAGTGACAGGACAAGGGGTAATGAGTTTAAACTGAAAGTGGGGAGATTGGGACTAGATATCAGGAAGTTCTTCACAGGGAGGGTGGTGAAGCACTGGAACTGGATGCCCCATCCCTGGAAGTGTTCAAGGCCGGGCTGGATGAGGCTTTGAGCAACCTGGTCTAGAGGAAGGTGTCCCTGCCCATGGCAGGGGGGTTGGAACTACATGGTCTTTAAGGTCCCTTCCAACTCAAACCGTTCCATGATTCTGTGATTCATTTGGTATCTAATTCTCAGTGAAGAAAATCTCTTCAGTACCACCTTTGTGCCATTTTGCCCCTCTCTGAATTAGGATATTGAGGACCTCTCTGTAATAATTTTTTGTGTGTGTTTACTTAATTGTTCAATAATACCTTTTTCCTCTTTTGGAGGTACTTAGCAGTGGATGCAGACAAAGATAGTATGAAACATATTTCTATCACAGTTAGCTTGGTTTATGAATACAAAGGATGTACAGTCTCTGCAGCTCATCTCAAGTCAAGCTGTCATTATCAAGTTTCATAATAGTAATACTTCTGAATAAGTGCAGCTATTAAGACATTCTTAGGCTTCAGTTTTTAACATAGTCTAGACTGTCTTCCAATTGTGAAAGACTTGCAAATGAGGTAGAACACTGCTTAGAATCTAATGGGCTATTTTGAGTAAGTCTGTGAGCTCTAAATATTTATATTTTTTAATAGAAATGTTAAAATACTTTCTTTTCTCCGTCCATAGGAAAAATCAGTGTTAGTGTTCCAAAAGAATCCCAGTGCAACTGGGCTGCTAATGGAAGAAAAATACTTTTTCTTTTTTCTTTCCTAATAATGACTTTAATTTGTATTGCATTTTACACTCAAATTCCAGGCTTATCTTCCTTGTACTCTGTCTACCGTGTAGCCATGATTCCCTTGATCTAACCTCAAAACAAATTAGTTGTATCCTGAGAAGAGCTGTTTATTCAGTTAAATTCAGAAAGATGTAAAAAAGATCTGAACTACTTATGATGGAAATATTTAAAAGGGACTTCTGTGTAACATACAATGCATGCCTGCTCACTGGGTCTTACTGCTGGCTGGTTTTTTGTTTGTTTGCAACAGACTTCCCAGTGCAGAACAACCCCCACTGTTCAGAAAAGTGCAATACTTCTGGCTACTTGTTGTAGCTTATGTTAATTTGTAAATTCTTGGGTAAATTTTGAAGCTAGTACTTAGCCCTGTTTTCTTACTGCTTTTAGTTTGTGAAATGTGCAGTCATAAAGAGCATTGTCAAAACTGCTTTTTCTATTTCAGAAACAGCCCTGTTTTCTTACTGCTTTTAGTTTGTGAAATGTGCAGTCATAAAGAGCATTGTCAAAACTGCTTTTTCTATTTCAGAAACTTTTTCAGTGTTTCTGAGGTTTAGGTAGTGAAAGTTATGTGTACATCTCTGTTCATCTTTGGGTTTTGATAACATTAGCTGGCTGTATGGAATGATATCACTTACACTATTGTGACTTCTTCAATATTGACTCACTATGTATCGAGTAATAAATTTTAAAACTTGCAATATTTTCAAGTGTTAATAGCCTTAATATACATTTTAAGTTATACAAAGGTGTGTTGCAAACAATGAATTCTTTAAGCTATGCACTTCTTCCTTTTTGATCTTGGATTTTTAATAACATACAAGTAACTCTTCCAACTGAATTAGTATTGCAGCTGACTTAATGTCCCATGTGTCTCCGCAGAGGATCCTCAAATTCATCACCAAAGGGTGAAGAACAAAAAGAATCTTTGATTTATCACTCAAAGGATCGTTACCCCTTATCTGATGGAGAATGGTCCCCTTTGGAGAAGTAAGTCACTTTGTAATGTTGTCATAATGATGAATAATTATTAAAAACTAATATGACTCTTGATTTATCCCCTCAGCTGTAAAACCATGAAATATGCCTAATTTGTGATGTCAAATGCAGCATTTGATACTTGCTTAGAACTTTGAGAACTTTTTCTACTGTATGTATTAAACAAAATTTGCATCTTTCTTTTTTCCCCTTGTGCTGGGTTCAGTCAGGAA